CTAGCTTTAGTTAAAATTTCTTATTAGATCAAGATCCTCTGCAAGAACTTCTCACTAAGGTGATGGGAAGTCGTCAATGAGCTGTAACGCCATTTAATTGAGGTATGAGTTAATTAGGCTAGGCAGTGGTGCTATCAATACATCACCTAGGAAATAGAGAAGTAGAGAAACTCTCTTCTAATGACAAGTTTAGTTAGATCTTTGAGTAAAAGGCACGTAGGTAGCAATATTGGTTCTCATAACAATGGTAGCTCAAGAACTATGAGGGTCAATAATATTGAAAAAGTAACAATATATAATATTGAAAAACTGTCACGAATGATCAACTGGATCAACATCAACATATGCTAAAAGGTCATAACTATTTGCATATTGGTCTAATTCAAGTAGCGGTAAAACCGTTAACAAGAACATGATTATATACTTCTATCCTACTCTATGTAAGAGATATATGACACAATAACTATGTCAATTCCATGTTAGGAATGATAGAGTAATCCCTTAGTGAAGGACCAATCTATTTTAATTGTTTCCTAAATTTTTCTGTGCCGTTATCCGACCCCATAGTCGTAAAGACTCACCTGTCAATACGCAAGGGAATGATATGAAAGCAAGATCACAAAATTTAGTTGTGACTTGTAGGATTTCATAAAAGGAGATGAAGTCCATTGTGCGCAAAGCAAAAATTATGGATTGTATGGGAAAAATCACTTTGTTCCAAGTTAATATAGGAAAACCCCATACAATAATACTTAAAATGATTAGGTGGAATGATGTTACTCTACCTGAAAGATGGAGACTGCAAGATGGAGCTCCACCTCAACTGATTCAAAATAGATAACTCAGTCGTATAAATCAATACGAAGATGGAGATGTAGAAATACAATTCTCCACTAATAGGTTGGCTACATTAAGCGTTGGTCATTGATTAAGAGTTGAATCTTTAAATGCACCAAGACTCCTTTTTCGAACAAATTTGTTCAAATGGTCAACATCAAGATCAAACTTTTAGTGAACCTGATAAAGAATTTATAGAGTTAGACTATCTTAATGAAGAAAATGCTTCAAAAAGATTATAGTGAGGAAAAAAAAATTCAAAAAAAGGCAAGCTTTCTTAAAGAAAGCCCATTTTCAGTTCATGAAAGGAAAAGAGTTTGATGCAAGGTTTTTTACTTGGCATAAATGGTGTGCCAAAAAATAGAAGTTCCTTGACTATGCTGAATGTATAAGTGTCATTGAAGATCCATTTAAAACTTATATCACTAAGTGAGGAAAAGAAGAAAAGGCAATTTACTCGCCAGAAAAGGCCATTGAAGTAATAAAAAAGGAACCATTGCCTATCCGTTTACGGAAGTACCTGAAACAACTCAGTATAGTCAATCAACTACCCCTTCCTTGTACAATGGAGTTTCAGTTGTTATACAACAAAATAATTATACAAACATATTCCTTCAGTCTTTAGGCAAACAGACATCCAGAATTTGAAAATTTGTTTCAACCAAATGGCCTCTACTTGATTCAAAAAATTGAGAGCCTAGGACATCGAGTTGGAAAGAGACAGCATCTAGTTCTTATAATAGTAAGAATATAGATAACAAGCCCAGTCAAGTCATGTTTAAACCGACATTGCTTCCTGACCTAAAAATTACAAGTTAGTAAAAACGTTGACTGAAGACGATGAGTTCGTAGATGCCTTAGCCAAGAGGTCAAATTCTATCAAAATCTCTTTTAAAGACCCTAAAGTTGCAGTAATTAATCAGCTGACCTCAAAGATTTAGAGTAACAATTCACTAAAACAAGTCCTGTTACGACTGCATAAAATAAAATTTGGAAAAAAGATTCAAAGAACAGCGCCAGCAAAAAATTATTAACCTAGACCTTCACCAGTCAATATGCAATTTGAGGAAAATGATATGTGTGAGATAGTCCTAACCAGTAGTAAAATTCATTTTACTCCGAATTAGGGTTTACGATAAACAAGCACATGCATGCATTTTGGCACATTACAGAAATTAAGATGATAAACAAAATCTGTTTGATGATTGCAGATTGCTCTATTGGTGATGAGGAAGACCACAGAAACATATACATATGTGTGATCAAGAATTTGTTTAAACACTTGTTGTGGACAGAAATTACGGAATTAATCAATCAAGGGGAGCATCTCTTAAAGGAGAGGAGTGATTCCTTCTTGTGTTTGTTCCACTTGAACTAAGCATGGCATAAACATGCCCTAAATTTTGCAGTGACTCCTCGTTACTGCATAATGCAGATACATATACATCACCTAGCACTAGCACAGGTGAATGGTGAAAGGTGAAAGGTGAATGATGAATGTGAAGAGGGGCATAATATTCTGAGATTGTTAATTTCTAGTATATATGTTTATTATTTTTGCTTCTTTTGGATTGGGAAGGAGATGTAACTAGTTTTTTTCTGTTCTTTTTTATTTTTTAACTTCTCTTTCAATCCCCAAGAAAAAAAAAGAAATTTATTTTGAAGCGAGAAATTCATTAACTGGAAAAACAAATATTTAAAAACCAAAAACCAAAATCAAAATCAGGATGGTTATTAGTTGCTGTTATTAAGAGGAAATCCTTGATTACTTAGGGGTTGTTTGGTATTTAAGTTGAAATTAATTTATAGTTTTAGAAGATGATGAATGTAGCTAAATTACTTAATACTCATTGGTTTGAAAAGAAGATGCCAAACAAGCTCTTAGCTTCAGTTTGTTTTTGAGTTCATCTATTGCCACCCCAAACTTATTTGTCGTTTTTTTATACAACAATATTGAGAATGGGCGATTGGGCCATACAATGAGTTTAGCAATTATTTCTTATCAAACTTGTCATTTATGTGATTCAGACTTAATACCTTAAATTTACAAGTTGTGATAAATACTACTAGAACGTAGTACTAGTGACAACTTAATTGTCCTATAAATGGCAATTCGTTTAACTAGATTTTATATGAAAAATGTTGAACACCCAAGTGGATTATGAAAAAAGTTGAAATTTCACCATAAAATCAAGGCAATATAAGGAGTATCTCAATTATTTATAAGCACATGCATAGTCCCTTTTTTCTCCGGATGTGGAATTCATACTCTCAACACCCCTCCTCACGTGTGAAGAATTTTCAAAACTAACATGTAAACAACACAAATTGGATGAGTGGAGCACATGTGACCATTGAGCTTCACACGTCGAACAACCTGCTTTGATACCATAAAGAAAGTTGAAGTTCCACTATAAAACTAATTGACAATATACAACATAACCCAATGACTATGATTATTTGTTTATGATCAAAATCGGCAATTTACCCCTTTTTCCTTTCTTTTTTTTTCATGAAGCTTTACAAAGCCAAACTATACATTTCGTCAAATCATGTAAATAATTGAAGAAAGGAGCATTTTCGCATAGAACCATATTATGCACAAAATGTTGGAAAGGGCTTATGTTAGATCCCACATCGTCCATGAGAGATAATCCTCTATGCCTTATATGTACATGCCCACCTCCATATAGCACAAGGTTTTTTGGGAGCTCACTGGCTTCGAATTCCATAGGAACTCTGAAGTTAAGCAAGATCGTGCGAGAGCAATCCCAGGATGGGTGACCCACTGTGAAGTTCTCGTGTAAGTTCCCAGAAACAAAATTGTGAGGGCATAGTCGGGGCCCAAAGTGGATAATATCATGCTACGATGGAGTCCGGGATGTGGTGAAGCCCGGGTCGGGATGTGACAATTTGGTATCAGAGCCAATCCCTGGCCGGAAGTGTGTCGGCGAGGATGTCGGATCCTTAAGGGGGTGGATTGTTAGATCCCACATCGTCTAGTGGAGAGGATCCTCTATGCCTTATATATACTTGCCCACCTCCATATAACATGAGGCTTTTTGGGAGCTCACTAACTTCGGATTCCATAAGAACTCCAAAGGTAAGTGAGATCGCGCGAGAGCGATCCTAGGATGGGTGACTCACTGGGACGTTCTCGTGTGAGTTCCTAAAAACAAAACCGTGAGGGCGTGGTCAAGGCTCAAAGCGGACAATATCGTGCTACGACGGAGTCGAGCTCGAGATGTGGTGGAGCTTGGGTCAGGATGTGACAGCTTAATTAAGCCGATATGTCAAGAGAAATGATTATTAAAAATATAAAAAATGTCATTAATTTACCATTTCATAATCACCATTTTTTAAATTTTATTATTTGAAATCATCACTTCAAATAATAAAATTTAAAAATACCAATGCTTATTAGTAAGTCCTTGACAAGTCACAAATTCTATTTACAATCCATGATAAATTCCCACAAACCCCATTAAAATCCATGTAGAATTCAATCAAAACTCGCTAAAATTCTATGAAATTGAAATAAATTCTTTTAAATTCTATGCATTCATAACTCTATGAGAATCAATCAAACTCTAGATACAATACACTTAGCAATGCTTATTAGCTAATGACACTAATTATCGAATATCTATGCTCAAACATTATCGCTATTTGCAGTTGGACTAGCGTTCGCAATGGGGGACTCCACCCTGGCAAGGAGTTCATGTGTTCGATGAGGTGTTCACGTTTTTATGCATTCTTTTTACCGTTTATGTAGTGCGTTTCGTAATAATATAACCGTTGCACATTTTTGGTATCAATTTTAGCAAGATAATAAATTTTTGCATCCGCTAATCACGTTTTGCACACACTTATATCTATCTTCGTTGATTAGTTATATTTTTTATTTAATTCAAATATTGGAAATATATAGAAGTGTGCAAGTCTGCAGGAGGAGGAAAATGTGCACGAAAATCACTCTCTTGTAATAGTGACACTCTCCCATCACGCATTGTATGTGGAACCTTCCAATCAGAAGTTCCATAACCTATCACCTCAGCGAGCCGCGTGATCCCCCGCCTCTCATCCGTTCCATCCTCCACTCCATTACTCCCAGCCGTCGATTTAAGAACCAAAACAAAAATAATTTTATTTTATTGTTTACTTTATCCTTTTGGCTTTAAATCTATCTAGCTCTTAAATCCTTGCAACTTCAAGTCTTCAAATCCAACAGCTTTTACCATCAGAAATTTCACGGGCTTTCTCGTTGTTGCTGTAGCAGTAGAAGCTGTAGCAGCAGCTGAGGTTTTTGTGGGGTTCACTGAGAGCGCTTCAATTCAAACATCTTGCTTTTATTTTCTCTGCTGATTCTGAATGGCCACTGAAGAGGTTAATAAGCCTCCATCACTCCCTCCTTACCCTCAGGTACTTCCTTCCACCAAATCTCCAACTAAAATAATTCTCTTAATGTTTTTGTAAATTTTTATGGTCTTGGATATTGCTATTTTTTTCATTTTTTGATATTTTACATGTTGTGAAAAGGGAAAATTTAGATGGGTTCCTGAATAATGGCAAAAATAAAAATATTTTTTTAAAAAAAATAATTAGAGCGCTTGGTTCCATTTATTTTTCAAATTAAGGCTTGTTTGCAACGATGTTTTAAAATAACTAAAAACGTTTTTGATAAAAGTGTTTTTCTCAAAAATATATTCGCCGAGAATGTTGTCAGTCATTTTAAAAATATATTCAAATGAAATCTTAATCATCAGAAATGAGCTTTCACTAATCTGAATATCTCTACCTGTTACAGCTTACATTTATGGTTTATTTATATTTTTGAGAAAAAAAATGAGACTACAGTTGTTTGATTCTCCAAATTTGAGACTTTTTTACTGATTTGAGTTCTGCTATTCGGTTTAGTAATTTGAAATACCAGAACCCAAATCAGAAGAAGAAAAAAAAAAAAAAAAAGGAAAGAGAGAGAAATTTTACAGAACCCAAATTAGTAAAATATTTATGTGTGTGTGTTCATATAACTAGACCTTTTGTTTGCCTTTGAACTGCATTATGCTGCCAAAAAGCTTTCTATATTTAGGACCTTAAGTTCATCCAACGAGAACTTTCTCACTAGAAAGAAAGGATTATTTTTATTTTCTTTTTGGTAAATGTTTGAGTTGTGGTATTTTCAGATGATTCTGAACGCCATTGAAGCCTTGAATGACAAGAATGGCTCGAACAAATCCACAATCTCGAAATACATTGAATCAACATACGGGGACGTGCCGGCCGGGCACAATAAGCTTCTCTCTCACCACCTCAACAAGATGAAAGATAATGGGGAGCTGGTGTTCTGGAAGAACAACTACACAAAGCCGGATCCCAATGCACCTCCGAGAAGGGGGCGTGGCAGGCCGCCAAAACCCAAGGATTCACTGTCCCCAGACACCACCTTGACCTCAGCAAAGGGTAGGGGCCGTCCGCCTAAGGACCTGGAAGCACCTCCAAAGCCTCCCAAGGTTAAGGTGTCTTCAGGGAATGGGAAGCCGAGAGGGCGGCCAAGGAAGATGGCGAAGCCTACCGGAGGTTTGAGTGGCTCGTCAACAGTGGAAGAGACAATGCCGGGGAGGCCAAGGGGTAGGCCTCCGAAGGTGAAGGATACATTGAGTGCTGGAGATAGTGTTGGGCAATAGGGTTTTTATTAGTGTAGTATTAGTAAGATTAGTGTGTCTAGCTCCCCTTCTCATTTATCGAATGTTATGAACTTCGGGATCGGAGAAGCAATCGGAACAGGCTCCGCGTTTATTTCGTTGGCAAAAACGATCGTATCCGATGTTTTGTGTTGTTAGTTTAGCTGCGGCTGTCTTTTGTCTCAACTGTTTAGCTTGTAAAATGAATTGCAGTTGTTTAGTTTCTTAGGTTTGAGAGGAGATGAGACTGCTGCTAATCATGATTGGAATCTCATTTCATTGTTGCGATCTTATAAGTTATAAATGTTGTGTCGAAATTCTTTTTGTTTTTTTGGGTGTGGATTATGCGGAATGTTTGCTTAAATGTGCTTTCTAAAGGCTAATTTGGGTTATTCAAGCTTTATTTGAAAGTGGGTTTGCAGTTTGATGTTTATATCAAGGAGGGGAATCAAGCATTGAACTTCATAAGTGAATGTTTTTAACCACTTGAAGTACAAAATTTTTTGGGTTCAATATAGTTCACTTCCGCTCAAGTGATGATATTCCACTTTACTAAAGTAAGAGCATCTACAACAGTTTGTGCTAAATTTTTGCTAATGTAGCAGGTGAACAGTGTCGCAAACTACTTTAGCTAGTCTCTTTAACTTTTCATCTCTAAAAGCACTCTCTATTATAATAAACTTTAAATATTTTATTATCAATCATTTCAGAAAGAAAAAACTTAACCCACTCATTTTCTAAAACTTAACTCCGAAACTGAATCCCCTCTGGACCAAAAGAAACTAAACCCACTCATCAAATGATCCGGGCTAATGAAATTTGATCAAAAGGCTACAAATAGGGGGCCCTCTATAAGTTATAATAATTGTAGTCATTGGATCAAATTTCAATAGCTCGGATCATTTGATCCTTGGGCTCAATTTCTTAGGGCTCGGAGGGGATCCGGTTCCCTTAATTCCATCTCTTCCTTTTCTTCTTAATTTATAGGTCCACCATTGAATTTTATTAATATTTAACATTTAGAATATAAATAGTGACTCCATAAATATAAAGGGCAATTGTTCACTTTACTATTTTTTTTTTTTGGTCAAACTAAATTACTTCCATTAAATAAGAAGACAAGTACAAGTAAAATAGAACTAAAAAGGCAGTCCACAACCTAAATACAAGCCCAACAACAAAAAAGAAAATATAGTAGAAATGCCAAAAAGTGGCCAGATGAACAAAAAAAAAAACCTAAGACTAGAATGGAAACTAGTAGCCACCAAATGCGCCTCCACCGCAAAGCCGCCACCACCACCACCAAGAGAACAAACTAATGGAACAACTCGATAGACGAAAAATGGAGGTGAGCAGTGAGTGCTCCCATAATCTTACCAAATAGTGCAAAAAAACACTTCTACAAACACCCAAGTTTAAAAAAATACCTTTTGAGTGGAAGGATGGGGGAAAGAAGGGGGAAGAGGGAAGATGCAAAGGGTGAAGATGGAAGGAAAAGAAGGAAGGATGGCTAGAAAAAGGTGGGAAGGATAAGGGAAGGATGGGGGAAAGAAGAGGGAAGATGCAAAGGGTGGAGATGGAAGGAAAAGAAGGAATGAGGGCTAGAAAAAGGTGGGAATGATAAGGGAAGGATGGGGAAAGATGGAGGAAGAGGGAAGATGCAAATGGTGGAGAAGGAAGGAAAAGAGGGAAGGATGACTAGAAAAAGGTGGGAGTCGGACTGCCGCGGACCCCAAGCGGGAGCAATGAGCGGCTGCTAGGAGGGTTTCAATTCTGGTTTTTTTTTTTTCCTCTAAAGGCTATATGGAGAGCAGCAAGAGAGAAAAGGATAGTCCTTTTATAGAGTATCTTCGAGATGAGTTCTTTTAAATTTGGCTCTTTAAATCCAAGGAAAACTAATGAAAAGGGTTTGAAAACTTTGAGTTTTAACGATAAGGACAAAATAAAAGATACAGTGAATAATATCAAGATTGACTTTTTAGTGTAAAAATGTAGTTTTTCGTTAAAATGAACAGTTTTATTAAACCTTAAATCTAATGACTAAAATGCAGCTCCGAGTATCTAACTGCACACCGCAAAACAAAGATGCGGACCATTTCCATTGCGCTCAAAACTAATTATGATGTCCGTTAATTCTGCTATATTTATATGTACATACAAGATTTAAAAAAAATTTGGGGCCCTCGAGATTGGAGGCCCTAGCCCTCACCTCACTACCCTCAGGGGTGGGCTCTTATTGATGGGTGTGGGTTTGGAGGTACCATCCCCGCTGAGAGGGGATGAGGAATTCCTGTTTAAAAAAATGGTTATGAATGCAGTTTTGGGGGAAAAATCACCAACATACGTGGGGATGGAGGTGGCGCCCCGACTCACCCTGTCTCTTTGCCATCCTTATTCGAAGGTAATATTAGGATTTTTTTTTAACAATTGAAATAAATTCTAACAAAAGATCCTCAACGGATGACGAAAGTATGCATGTCGAAATTTAACCTAGAAATGATAGAACTTAAATTTATTAAACTAAATACAAGATTAAGGATAATAATGAACAAGAGTAACAAATCTGTCAACCGTCGCATTTGTTTCCTTACATAACATTGAGATTTTATGATTTGGGGGTTTTTTGCTTCTATGGAAAGAGCCCAAATAAAAAAACATAGAAATATAAATGTTACGGATACCAATTATTTAGATTAAATTTTATAAATTATATAAAGTATTTATTGATAATTAATTATTACTCGAATGTTGATTAACGTATTTATTTTTTATTAATAACACATCACGTAATGCATTTTATTTATTTTTATTTTTTTAAAATCAGACAACTGGTGACAAGTCACGATTATCCATCCATTCCAAAGATCGGGAAAACTCATATAGATATTTCAACCTCTTTTTAACCACAAGTCATTTTATTTGAACATATATATAATTAAGATGAATGGTTTTATGTCTATTGCTGGTTCATCTTCCCGAATTTACCGATTTAGTCTAAAAACCGTTGCTCCAAAAGAATATTGGCACGAAAGAAAAGACAAGTACACATCACATTCGATCTGTGTGTCCCAACCGCGTGCGAAACAGCGTTCGAAAGCAAGTTAAAATCCCAAACACCGCCTTAACGACGAAGAAAAAAGGCCTTTAGAAACCCTAACACACTCGTCTCCGTCCCCATCTCACACTTTTACTTTCTCACTGCGCCCAATCTCTCTTCCTCTCGCACCTTCCTCCGCGATTGTGTCTGTCTTCGGCTCAGCGGACGCTTCTCTTCTCTAATCGTTCTCCTGGTATGTTCCCTTCTCTCTCTCTCTCTCTCTCCGTGCCCTAATTCTTTGTTCTAGGATTTCTGATTTGAATCCTTTGTAGATTTGTAGATTTATTTCGTTGTTTTCTTTCTCGTCGATGGGAAAATATCGCTTTGATTTTAGGTTTCTAATGATCCGATTTGCGCTTTTTTGACCTAATTGTAAATTTTACCTGTAATTGGACTTTGTGAATTGATTTTCCTTACGATTTACATCATCATTGTCTGAATATTGAAAAATTTTCTTATACATTCGACGAAATTGAATTCAGAAATCGAGATGAGTAATCTTTGACTGTTGCTTGTGTAATATGATTCATGATTTAGAGGTTATCGTTATTGATATATTTTTTGTTATTGCAGGTTTAGATCTCATTCATAGCAAAAGGATTTCAATTATAATCTCTTGTTTAGATGTCGACTGCTTTGGATATGTCGCTTGATGACATGATTAAGAACAGCAGGGGTAATCGTGACAGAAATAGAGAACAACGCGGTAGGGGTTCTCGTGGCCGTGGTGGAGCACGTGGCTCCTTTAATGCTGGAAGGATGGCCGCTGGAAGAATTCCAGCTGGAAGAATTACAGGACTTGTTCGTAGAGGTCCTCTCCCGGGTGGTGCTCGGCCGTCCTCGTATACCATTGCCAAGGCAAGCTAAAAAACTGTAGATGTTTAATGATATGCTTGAGAATATGATTTTAAAACCCAAATACACGAGGATCTCTAAAACGCTTAGAAAGTCAAATACGAGGGGATCTCTAAAATGCTTAGAAAGTCAAATACTAGAGGATATGTGACGTATGTTGTTCATGGAGAAGCTCATTTTGGCTCATCTTCTTAAGCACTATAGCCTATCGTCGCCCACTCCATATGTACCGTTATCTTTGAGATTTATCTGTACTTGTGGGTTGTTGGGTTATATTTCTGGGGACTTTGAGGAATGGCAAATTATCTTGTTATCTATTCATGAGCTGACATTTAATTTCCCCCATCTGGATCTTTTTCTGCATGCTTTCATCAGTCTACCCGCAGAACCAAGCGTTTCCCATGGCAGCCTGATTTGTTTGAAGACAGCCTTAGAGCTGCGGGGATATCAGGGATTGAAATTGGCACAAAGTTATATGTATCTAACTTGGACTATGGAGTGACAAATGAGGATATAAGGGTACAACTTGAGCCATATACTTTCATCTTAAGCGCTTTCTATATCGAGTTTCTTGTAACATTCTCCTGAAACGTCACGTGCAACTGCAACTCAGGAACTTTTCTCTGAGATCGGAGAGATGAAGCGATATGCAATACATTTTGACAACAATGGTCGCCAAAGTGTGAGTTTTTTGCCCAGTATTTAGAGTTCTTCCCTCTTACATTCTATCCTGATTTGTTGGTTTACTTATATTTGGCACTGATTTTTAGTTAGGATCCTGATATTGGTTGTAGTGTCTACAAATAACTCAAAGAAAATAAACTTGTATTTGAAGTCATTGTATTGATTTTAAAATCCTGATATATGAACAGAGTGTAAACTAGTGTGGTTCAACTCTGTTTAATCCCTATTAGAATTTCCATGTTCAGAAGTACAAGTAGACATTTTTGTAAAGCATTTGTACTTGTTAGTTTTCTCGTAATGGTTCTAATCCAAGCAAACTCTGTATATATCAAAGCCCCTAACTTCATTTGTTTTTACATTGTACATTGTTTTAAGAGACATTGTTCCATGCTTGTCCAGTAGACATTTGATGTTGAATATTAGTCTACCCTTCTGGCTGGTGGGTTCTGCAAAAGCCAGCCAAGGTGTTGTTTCTTCGTTTCATGATATCTAATTAACATTGGTATGTTAAAGGACAGTTGTTATATGTTAAGCATTATTCTCAGCCGAGTATAATTTTATGTATATCTGTACTGCTTTCTACTATTTGATAGACACTTTGGTGCTCAAGTTTTATTAAGGAAATTTCCTGTTGTGTTATCAGGGTTCAGCCGAAGTGGTTTATACTAGAAGAAGTGATGCATTCGCAGCATTGAAGCGCTATAATAATGTTTTATTGGACGGGAAGCCTATGAAAATTGAGCTTGTTGGTGCCAGTGCAGGGATGCCTATTTCAGCTCGTGTGAATGTGACAGGCGTGCACGGAAGGAAGAAAAGGACTGTTGTAATGACGTACGCTTTCTTTTTCCCCCTTCACACTGCTTCTATCATATTTCTAAGCAACTGTCGCTGCATTCATGGGCATGTATATAAAATCACATATGCATCGAGTGATCAACAGGCTTGCATCTATTTGCTAAAGGATACAAGGAATTGTTGGAGATGGCCTTTGCTAATTGTTTCAATATTCACATAAATTCTACCATATCTTTGTCTGGAATTGTGGACAATGTCCATCTTCCTTTTACATATTATTAGCTGCTGGTCATATATATGGAGATGGCGACACCAAGAACAACCATTGTTATTTGTTAATTTCTGTTGGATATTTTAGTTGAATGTGAATATATTAAAATTACCAGCAAATTATTTCTATGTTCAACTTACTTGATTCTTTCCATTGTAAGTCTCTATGTTCTGGTCTCCATTGGGTGGGATCCTCAGGTTGTGGGGAGAGGTTGTTTCCGAAGTCTTTGGAAGCACATTGTCAATGTTACCGTCTTTTCTCCCTTTTTTGAAAGTTGGGGGTGGGTAATTGGAAGAGAGTGGGTAAATGTTTGGGTGGGGATGTCACCTTTTAATCTCTATTTCCTTCCTCATTTAGTTTTGAAATGCAGCCTTTTATTAATTCAATGACTTAGAGCATCTCCAATGGAGTCCCTAAATAAGGACCACCACCGTATAAAATGGGTACAAAACAAATATAGGGACAAAATTAATCTCCAATGGATCGGAAAGTCACTGGATACATAGTGTATGTCCTCTCACATATAGGGATTGTATAGGGACAACCTTGAGTGGAAAACGGGGCCCACAATCTTGATTGAAGCTTTTAATTAATTAAAAAAAGGTTAACATAAACAACAAAAATGTGCACTTGAGTGGAAAGCGGGGCCCATAATCTTGATTAAGGATTTTAAGCTTTTAATGCTTTTAATTAATTAAAAAAGGTTAACATAAACAAAAAATGTGCTCCTAATCAAATTATCACATGAAATCATAAAAACTTCAAATTTAGGGATTCTCCTGTAAGGACTCTCCCATTGGAGGCAATATTCCTTTAGGGACACAAGATTCCTTAAATGAGTACTCAAAAGTGGTGGTGGGAGTCCCTAAATAGGGACTTCGATTGATGATGCTCTTAGAAACTTAGATTTCTTTCTAGGTGATATGCAGGCCTTTCCTTCCGCATCAGGTGGGGAATATGCAGACTTTTCTCCCATCTAGGTGATAGATCTTTGCATTCAAATTGTGCAATTTTTTTTTTCCTAGAGTGGTCACCTGTCAACTGGATCCTCCCTTTGAACCACTGAAGGTTGATTTGGCAGGTGGGTATCCTGGACTCCCAACCAAGGTGAAAATTCTATTGGTTGGTTGTTCATGGATAAACGACCTTGCATGTTAATTTCTACCTTTGAGTGTCTTGATCAAGGAGGGGAAGTATATGGGTCATATGTGTTTTCATTGCAGATTCACTAGACCGACTTAGAATTGATTGTTGCAGGGCTTTGGATGGGTGTGGACCTGTGGGTGTGCAGAAAAACTGGCACTGAGGTTTTATTGGGTTATAGTGGTCTGACTGGTGGTTTAGGTGTTTTCTGGGTTTTGGCATTAGGAGATGGACTGCTCATACATGTTTCTTATGCTTCCTTCTGTATCTTAATATAATTCATATTTATTATAACAAATATCTTTAATGGCTCCTGATAATATGTTGTTTCTTTCCTAGAGCCTTTTTAAGTCATATCAGGTCATAGAAGTTTTTGATACTCCATGATTAGTTAGGCCTTTTGTATGCGAGGTGCTGTTATTGTTGCACTGCATAAAGTAAGGATATTTATCTTTCATTGTCCTTTTGTAATGCAGGCCTGGACCTGGTAATGCTGGTGGCTATGCTATGCCTATGGTTAACCGCGGTTCTGGGTAAGTTCTTATCTTTTTACCTTGTGACTATGAAATTGTGTCTTTTTGATCTGTCGATGTTTTGTTGTTCTACTGATGTAAAACATATGTGCTAGAGTTCCAATTTTGTCTAATTTGTCTTACGTGCTTGTGGACCTATCATACGCATGTTAGAAAGATTTATCAACAGTCTATCAAAACAATGTCTATACACCCCATGTTCGGCTTAGAAGACCATTGACGGGTCAATGCTACACGGGGCTATGCACCATTAACAAAATTAGGCCATATAATACTGGTACCGAGCTATGGGTCTTTAGCAGGCTGACCCATGGACCAAGAATGGTGGGTCATGAGCCTTAGGTTGGCCCAGTAGTTTTTGGTGTTATTTCTTAAAAATAATTATAATTAAAAATATTAAATATATATGTCCAGACATCTTTGTTAGATGATGTATTATATGGTTGGATAAAAATTTAAATTGGCCATTGTGCAAGGATCCAGATAATAATGGAAGAGTAGACAGACAATTAGCTTGCTCATCTGTGTGCAAGGATTGCACACATAATCGTTTGATTTAAATCAAAATGGTTTATATGATTACAGTTTACGGCACAGAAGTAAATGATAATTGTTTTATTAGGAGTAGACAGACAATTAGCTTGCTCGTCCATGTGCAAGGATCGCACACATAATTGTTTGATTTAAATCAAAATGGTTTTAGGAAAACAGTTCTTCTAATAAAAAAATGGTTTATGGGATAACAATTTACGGCATACAAGTAAATGATAAGTGTTTTATTAACTGTAAAGTTTTATCCAATGGCTTAAAAGTTAGAGCATGGTAAGTACTTTTTTTAAAGTAATAAAATCATTCAAGTTTTGTAGCATGCACACAAATAAAAGGGGATGGACTGCTGTTGTATTTTCTCTATTGCTATCTCTCTATGATGTTCTAAGTCTGTCTGGTTGCCAAAATGTTTATTGCTAGTTTGGTATTTTTGAAACTTCATGAGATGGCAAGTTGGGTTCGTTTGTGGATCGTTAAAGATGGATAAGGCTTTGAATGTTGCATTTCTCTTTAGGCTTATGATGATGTATTCAGTTGCTATTTTGTTAATTAATGCAGCGTCTTATGTACTTAGGGACACCTAAAATTTGCAACTCAATGTAGCCTGCCCTAGCTAGAAATGTAACACAATTCGTTGGTTGATCTTCAAGCTTGTTTTTTCCTTGATCCCCATGCTTCCTTGATTTGTCTCTCCCTCCCAAACCATTTATTATATGTGTACTTTTATTATCAAAGTGATATTTGTGTAGAGATTTTATTGATGGAAAAAGGTGAAATTGTTAGGCTAGAGATTCAAATTTAACAGCCTAAACTACTAGACTGGAGGCAAATGCCAATTATGCATCCAGATAGGAGTGTTCTCGTGCAAGCTCAGTGATTTCACTTACCATGTAAGAACAAATTAGTATGCTGATTTGAGTTTAGGCTGTCATATTCTTGTTTCTCTGTTTTTATCAACTTTTAACTTATTTTTAGGTGATATAGCTGAGCTAGTTATTTATGAGGGACCTAATTATAGTTTTGTTAACTAACACTAGCATTTGCCTACACACTTTGTGTATGAACACATTTTTTTTTAGAAAAATGGGAAGGAGAGGGAGAGAGAGAGAGAACGTGGGAGGTTTTTGTTTTTGGTTTTTTTTTTTTTTTTTTAAATTTAAATATTGGTGATATTTTAACATTGCCTTTAGGTGAGGCTTCAATAAAAAATAGTAAAATTTGAACATGTGAAATTACATTATTAGCCATCATTTTTTTGTGTGATAGAAGACTAAATAGTCTTTTCACCCTCTTTTGGATGACAAAGAGGGTTTGATTAATGTAGTTTTAGATCTTTACTTATTTGTCAATTTTCATTTATACTTGGCACTCTAATTTAACTTCTCTTTTGGTATGAGGGTACTATTAAGTAGTTTGAACCTGACGTTTAAATCCTGTAATTAACCAGACCGTTTCCAATGTTCCTTTTGACTGGTGTTTATCTGGCTTGGTTTTGGTGATATGGTTCTTGACTTCTTGTGGGGATGATATGGTTCTAGAATCAATTTGTTCAGTATCTGTTATCTTTGTAAGTTTTGCAATCAAGACAGAAGTTTATAAAATGAAATCACACATTCAGTAAGGGTGTTTTTTAAGGGCTACTTGTTGTGTGCATTGTGCTGCTTGAACTCTGTTTGATTGTCTACATACCCCCAAGCTGCGGCATCTAATACTTATGCTTATGTACAGTTATGAAATGTCTACATCATCTACGTGTTGACTAAGAGCTATCCCAGCATTGAAAATTGAGAACATCTAATAGCTACCTATCTTCCCAGTTATGTTGAAAGAAATTAGATGCTTGTGGGTACCAAGAGTTTTATTTTTTCCAAAACGAGTGTAACGGGAAACCATGCTACAAGTTAAAAATATTTGTGATCCAGTCCCTGAATGTATCTGTACATTTGTGTCTTCAGTTTGGTATTTGCGGCTGTATGGTATAAATGCTGCTGTTGGATTTTAGTAATAGTTAGTATCATTTCAAGCTGTGATCACAAGTACATTGTTTCTGTATTTTGTAGTGGGAGCAGCCGTGGAGGGAATAGAAATGGTCGAGGGAAACCACGTGGGAGTGGCAGCGGCAGTGGTCGTGGGCGTGGGCGTGGGCGTGGTCGTGGTGGAGAGTGGAGGAAGAAGCATGTGGAGAAGTCGGTTGATGAACTCGACAAGGAACTAGATAGCTATCACACAGATATCATGCAGAGTTAGTTCAAAACTGGAGGTGTGGAACTTTGCTTCTTGGTATCAATCAGTGTTTAGCTATGGTAGCTGTACAAAAATGACGGTTGTGATTTTCGCGATATAGATTAATTTATGCTTGGATGATGTCTCAATGCTTTTCGTCCTAGGCCAGCCGACTTAGAGGAAACGAAGATGTTGGGTTGATTTGAAAGTTGTTTGTTGGTTGGTAGCATTTATTTGCTGTAAAACGACGCTTTAATGTTGGGGTGATATGCTAAATGAGATAAATGAGTTGTGTATATTGTTTTTGCTCAAGGACACCAGTCACACCACTTGGGTTGCAGCTTAGATCCAATTTCATGAGTTACATTATGAGTTGGTATGTTGCTTTTACTGTGACCAAATTAGTTACAGTAACGGTTTGATTCGGTTCGGTTTGGTTATGACAAATTTTTAAGGAAAAGGAACCATTCTAAACCAATATTTAACATTTTTGTTCAGTGCTAAATTCTCTCATTCCATATAACTTATTTTGCTTTGTATGCCTTTTGATTTCATCCATCAATGGAAGATGATAATGGTTGTGAATGCCAAAGTCTCTGAATGCATCGATATATTTCTGTGTCTTGTGTTATTTGGCATGTGCTGCTGTTTTGAGTTTAGTAATACAAAGCCTACGAGGCGGGCATGCCGTTAGTTTAGGACATAACTATGTTTTTGGAGAATCTGGTGTGAATGTGAGGGTGCAAATACGCGGCCAAACAGCCAAGTGTATACTTCATTCTAGGAGTGTGACTTGAACTTTTCATTCAAACGGATCATGGTTGAAGAAGGAACCTCTCAGCTTTGGGTTCTTCGAACGACTAACTCGAACTAATAACGCCTCTTATCGAACGACTAACTTGAACTAACGCCAACCTTTTCGAAAGTTTAATTGGAACAAACGCCTCTTTTTAAAAGCTCAACAAAACCTTTTAGTCTGTTTGAACTAATGTGAACCTTTTCGAAAGCCCCACAAATAATTCTCTTGACATGTTGAAACTAACACTAACCTTTTCAAAAGCCCCACAAATAAATCTCTTGACATGGTAGAACTAACACGAACCTTTTCAAAAACTTCAATAAATCTCGTGGCATGTTGAAACAAAATATTGTAGATAATCTCCTTTCTTTCTTTTTCTTATTTCTTCTTCTGAAAATTGTAGATAATCTTCACCCTCAAGTTCATAGCATGCGGACGCATGAAAAAAAATAGCTCAGTGTACCAAAAAGGAAGCATTCACAATAGGTTTCAACCAAGAATCGAACTCTGCACTGACACCAAGTTGAAAATATAAGGTTTAGGAACAATTCAGGATTCTCTAATAATCTCACAAACTTCGGTATACTTTATTCCTTTTCATAAGAAAATTTTATAAGACTACAAAATAGCAGTAATTGGAAATAAATAAAATCAAACCTTTGTACACATGACAAGAATCATCAAATTTGGACCCTAATTAATTATAATCTTTAAAATATTTTCCTATATATTTTCAAGAAAAAGAAGGATCAACCTAAAGTAACAAAATTAAGACATAACAAAATTAATTTATCCAATAGCACAACTACTACTACCATATGTAGCATCTATATTACTACCATATGTAAATTTCACTCAAGATATTTTAATTTCACTCAAGATATTTTAATTTAGAAATAACCACAACTACTACCATATGTAGCATCTATATTACCATGGTTATATGACTAATATCTTATGATCCCTAGAAACATACAGTCAAAGACTCAAAATTTGCATATTTGGTAACTAGTATGGAAGGGTCATGCTTTGAGAGAATATACATATATATAAAATCAATTTTGAACATATAAGAATGATTAGCTGACCACCCTAAGTCTTCATTAGCTCCGTCCTTGATTTGAATCGCTGTTGAAAATGCTTTTAGAATCCAACAACATCCATGTTAATAAATCAAATATTAAAGCGAAAAAGGAACTTGCAAATAAAAAATCCAACCAATGGATCTTTAAAGCCTAATTCTTTTGATGTAATCAAAACAAAAGAGAGAAGAATTTAGATCAATTACCTCTTAATGCAATACTTTGTTGTTACAAAGTTGTTCACCCTAATCACGAGCCTTCAATCTTCATCACGAACTCGAAAACATCCATTGTGGGTTTATGGCTGCATTTAACAATATCTAACTTCTCCACTTGCTCGAGTTTGATTTAATTTAAACTGAATTTGAATTACGAAAGAAATTGAACTAGACTAATAAAGCGAACACAATTGTGTCCACACATAATTTTAGTGAAAATACACAGTAACATTTAAAAGTTCTAGTCGTCTGCATTTAGTTGCAAAGCTATACAAAACTTAAGTGTTAAGAGAAAAAAATATAGCTTTTCATAACTTAGATGAGTTTAGAGCCGTCGAACTCTATCAAACTTAAATATCGAGAGGAGAAAACACAACTTTTCGTAATTTAGATGAGATTAACGTTGATTATCGACAGATCAATTGTCAAATACTGTATAAAGACCATTCATGTAGATTTCCACTCAACTCTTCTAGATTGTTCTGGATGCTTCTCCTCCCTTCTAATCCCCACCGTTAAACCACAGCACGCACTCAATTATTCAAACATTCTCACAATCTCTCGCAACTATCCGCATCTACAGCCTCCTCTTTCATCATAACAGAGTCGAGAAAATGTTCGGAGTCGTCTTCCCGAATCGCAGCTTCCCAATGGACATCTCCTCCTTCTCCCAGATCGACACCTTCCACTGGATTCTCGACATGAACACCTTCGTCGGTAAATTTCCCTATTTTTCCCTCTCTTTTTTTTTTTTTCTCCAATTTTTTCTTCGTCGGCGCAGTTTATCATTCTAACGCACGGTTTTTCTAATGTGCGCAGGGGAGGCGTACGATCAAGTCCGGGAGGTCTGCATATTTCTCTTAAACAACTTCACACTCCCGCCGGACAAAGCCCTAGCCGTCTACATCCAGTCGCCGGGCTCTGCCTTCTTCTTCTGCGGCGCCGTCACCGTGGCTAGGCCGTCGGCGGTGCTTGCTCTTCCGTGGCCACAGCCGGGGGGGCAGCTGCAGCTCACAGCCGACGCGGCGCCGCTGTCGGCCAAAATCGGCGTGTCGGTGGAGGACCTGGCGACGCTGCCGTCGCTGGACGTCACCGCCGAGAAGCGAATCGAGAGGTTGGCGATGAAGGTTGGGGAGAATCTGTTCAATTTCATGCAGTCGTTTTGCGGCGTGGATGGGAACAAGCTAGTGGTGCCGATGGATATCTTGGACCGGTGGTTCAAGAAGTTTCAGGAGAGGGCTAAGCGCGATCCTGAGTACTTGAAGGGCTTCGCTTTGTAATTTTGTAAGCTCTGCTCTCTCTTTATTTTTTTTCCTTTTTCTTTTTTTATAATTTTTTTGTATTTCTCGGTTTGTAATTGTAGTGTGTTTATGACAATTACTACCTGATTTTTGGGGGTTTTTGCCCAATCCAATTCCAGTGTAGTAAATGTTAGGTAGAACATAATTTGCGAATGCTTACACCGTCTGTTGTGCTGTTATATTTGTGTGATATGAACAAAAACGAACCAATAGCGTTCTAAGATTCATATAGCTGACGCCACTTAGTGGTATGAGGCCTCGTTGTTGTTTTAAATTTGATAGACAGACTAGAAACCGCTTATAGCAAAAACTAGACGGCTTTTTTCTTTGGTGTTTATGGAATTTAGAGCTGCGGCGAGGGCGAGGAGCTGAACTAGAGGCTTTGTTGTAGGAGTAAGAGACGAAACTTATTCCGATCAGTAAACTTCGAGAAACCTCTTGTTTCTACCTTTTGCGGATCCTATTTCCTCACCAATTCAAGCTTTGGTTATTTTAGGGTGTTAGGCAGGTAGAGGAATAGATCGAATTTGGGTTCTGAATGAGATGGAAGGCAAATTAGAGTAAGGTTTCGGGCGGAGGTGCTGATGGAATTGACTGCTCGCGACAATGGTATCTTGTTTGAGTTGTTGTCTGGAATTTTGAATTGCCAGAAACGGCCTTATCAGAGATCCGTGCCGGAGTTGTTACATTTCTGTTTTATTTAAAAGTCACCATGTTTTGATTAGAAGCTGAGGCAAAAACTCAATGGAATGGAGTGGAATAGAGCTCAGCCAAACTTTAGGATTAAGATTATATGAGCTGGTTGATTAGCAGGCACCAACATCCTGCTTTCAATGTTGTACTACACTACTTGGAGATGAAAGCAGTTATCAATATGCTTGAAACGTTTTATTTAAACAACGGTATCGTTGGTGTCTAGGATTGGACTGGAATGGATAACCCTATAAATTCAAGTTATACACAGGTACAAGAAAATGTTTTTTTTTTTTTTTTTTTTTTTTAAAGTTTGTGGAAATTTCATGTTCATTCTAGTCCTTCCGTGATTTGCTCTACTACGTCGCACGATTTTCGCAAGTTCATCCAAGTCCAAAGTCTTAAGGACAACGTTACTTTTTAACTTTATCTTTATTAAAGTTTGTGGAAAAAAAATCTTTCCCGACTATAGCGTAATCGCATTCACATATGTATGATGGGGCATACAATTAGTTAAACAAGATGTAACAAATCAAACTAGCAATTGGAAATATAAAATGGCTAGTGACTTTCAAACGATTTTTCATTAGTGAAGAGTCAATTCGTAGATAATTATTTTGCCGCTAATTACTTTATTTAGGAAAAAAAAAAAGGTGGAATAAAAAGTGAAAGCAACTTATATGATTACCTGGTTACGAAGCAAAACAATAGTAAAATTATGTTGTGTGTAATTTACTATATTGCCCAATTCTCACATTGAAAATTGCATCAAAGGAGCCGTAGACCCCAATCAACATCAATTTCCTTGAAAGCATTATCCCAAAACTCGGCTTCCCCTCCAAGATCTTGGGGTCGATAGTTTGACTAAAAAGCATGCTACCACATTTTTAACAAAAAGTTATAAAAAATGTAATTAATTATTCGTTTAGAAAAAATTCTTGAGTCCGAACAACAAGATAAATAGGACGAGAAGAAGTACAGAGCAACCAAAAAGCACACATAAAGCACGATTTGTGTCTTCAATCGAACGGTCACGACATCCAGTATCCACCATCCATGGGACCAGCATCAGAAGCCCAATTCCGCGTTGAGGTCAGCTATGACCACATGACCATATGCGTATTATATTCGGTACAACGACCACTCGCCTCCCAAACACGACAACGCCTTCCAATTATCATTAACGCCACCCAACCTTTTGTTACGGCCACCCACTTGCACAATATATCTACCAATACAATAAATAAATAAAATAATTAAAAACCAAATATAACAAATTCAACAAAAAGAGCCAAACCATAAAACACAAAATCAAATTAAACTTTTTCAAAAAATTAAGCAAATTAAGAACGAACCAGAAAAATATTCGAAAAGACGATCAGTTAGCACCAATAATACTCCAATATTTTTGTACACTTAAATCCAAATCCCTAATTAAAATCTAATTTTAAAGCTAATTAATACTGATCTTGTTTTTTCTACTGTTTTGTATGCCTTACCAATCCGATCGCTTCGATCGCTTTTAGTTTCGAGTCATCATCTTCTTGAACTCGGCGAAGTTGACGTGGCCATCGCCGTCGGCGTCGACGGAGCCGATCATCTTCGCGCACTCCTTGAGCGAGCACTTCTGCCCCAGCCGCTTCAGCACCTCGTGCAGCTCACTTTTGGAGATCAGCCCGTTCTTGTCAAGATCGTATAGGTCGAACGCGTCGCGAAGCTCCTTGGTGGATCCGCCATTGATGATCTCGGCGAACTCCGCGATGTCAATGTGGCCGTCGTCGTCCTTGTCGAACTCCGCCATAATGCGCTGCACCTCCTCCAGGGAGGCCGTCTCGGAGCCGAGCTCGCCGAAAATGCCCCTGAGCTCGTCGCAGGAGATCCTGCCGTCTCCGTTCTTGTCGAACTTGTTGAAGATCTTCTTCAGCTCCTCCATGGAGCCGGCGGCGCCGATTCCCAAGCCTTTCGAAGTCGAATCGTTCTTCGACATCGCAGCAAACACAGTGAGAGAGTAAGAGAGAGAATAAGGGTTTAGAATTCTCAGATTTTCTTCTCTTTCTGTTTGATTGCTTGACTAACAAGAGATATATATATACAGGCGATCTCACTCGTTTTGAACTATTGACGCGTGAATTATGAGGCGGTGATCGGGTGCGGGCCGACCTAGTACACCTGGAATTTACTGGCTCTTTCTTTGCCAGGAGGATCTCTTTATGAGAATTGGATTCTCAAATTGTGTTCGTTGTTTACTGTGCAGTTAATTTTTGTCAGGTATTATTTATTTTTAATTTAAAATAAAAGCATTTAAAATAATTTGTAACCGCACCATCTACAATAAAAGGGTAAGGTTTGGGAATTTCAAGAATTCTCACAAAGATTTGACTTTTGTGGGGTACATAGCGATTGACAGGTAGACACGTGGAAGTGACTGTGAGTTGAGGCGTAGGGGATTCTGTGCGGCGAATCCGTAGAGATACATATACAGTTGGGGGGATGGAAAGAAGTAAAGCGGGGGATTTTTTACGAGAGAAGAAAGCGCGTAGTGTGAACGGAAATAAATGTGGAAATAAGTCTAGAGGTCAAATATTTACATAATTTTGACGTAAGCCCATATCGTGTGTTTTAAGGAAGGAAATTAAGTAATATTTATGCTACAGAAATTTAATTATTCTATGCGGAAAATCAGGAGGAGAAAGAGTGTGGATTTTCATTGATGGACTAGGAGTTTGACAATTCGACGAATTTGTTCATGTTAAAAGTAGGAAGAAAATGATTTGGATTGGATGTATGGAATAGTGAATCGGTTGAAAATGAGATTGAATACGTTAATAATCAAATTAATATTTATGAGTTAAATACATGTTTTACCGAGAATGTATTAACAACTTTGTGTAAGCTCCTCGTTTGTTAACGAAGATTCTCGATTCTTTTTTATCTAGATTTTCTCAACTAGGGGCGGACATAAAATCAATAAATTGAAAAACCGGATCAAACAAGAAAAGCAAAAAAAAAAAAAACGAGTTGACTGAAAATAAACGTGGAAATAAGTGCAGAGGTCAAATATTTACATAATTTTGACGTAAGCACATATCGTGTGTTTTAAGGAAGGAAATTAAGTAATATTTATGCTACAGAAATTTAATTACTCTGTGCAGAAAATCAAGAGGAGAAGAAGTGTGGATTTTCATTGACGGACTAGGAGTTTGACAAATTCGACGAATTTGTTCATGTTAAAAGTAGGAAGAAAATGATTTGGATTGGATGTATGGAATTAGTGAATCGGTTGAAAATGAGCTTGAATACGTTAATAATCAAATTAATATTTATGAGTTAAATATATGTCTTACCAAGAATGTATTAGCAACTTTGTGTAAGCTCCTCGTTTGTTAACGAAGATTCTCGATTCTTTTTTATCTAGATTTTCTCAACTAGGGGCGGACATAAAATCAAAAACTGAAAAACTGGATCAAACGAGAAAAGAAAAAAAAAAAAAAAAACGAGTTGACTGAAAATAAATGTGGAAATAAGTGCAGAGGTCAAATATTTACATAATTTTGACGTAAGCACATATCGTGTGTTTTAAGGAAGGAAATTAAGTAATATTTATGCTAAGGAAATTTAATTACTCTGCGTGGAAAATCAGGAGGAGAAAGAGTGGATTTTCATTGATGGACTAGGAGTTTTGACAAATTCGACGAATTTGTTCATGTTAAAAGTAGGAAGAAAATGATTTGGATTGGATGTATGGAATTAGTGAATTGGTTGAAAATAAGCTTGAATACGTTAATAATCAAAGTAGTATTTATGAGTTAAATACATGTTTTACCGAGAATGTATTAACAACTTTGTGTAAGCTCCTCGTTTGTTAACGAAGATTCTCGATTCTTTTTTATCTAGATTTTCTCAACTAGGGGTGGACATAAAATCAATAAACTGAAAAACCAGATCAAATGAGAAAAAAAAAAATCGAGTTGACTGAAAATATCAATACCCGAATTGACATAAAACTAAACCGATTCAGGCCAATTTGCAAGTAATGCCCAAGTTATGGAGGACACGGGGAATAACAGAGTTTATGAATTCATTGTAGGAGAATCCAATGAAATCTTTGGGGGAAGGATGCGATTGTTTGTTGCCTTTGGTATGTTTACTTTTCTATTCTCAAATAAATCCACAACTTAATGAAATCTCACAAAATCTATAATATTGATATTGTGTTTGTATAAGAAAATTTAGGATCAAAATGACAGAAATAAAAATGAAATCGTTGCATGAACAAAACTTTGCAGGAGAACACAACTATCATTGATGATAGAACCCTTTTATGCACATTATCATCTTCGTTTGTACGTATTCTCATTTTTAATGAATATTGTATTTCTTTTAAAAAAAATTGACAGAAATTCATTTTCTAGAAGTATATTTTCTTGTTTGATTAAACTAAAAGTACAATGAAATTTTAACAAGAAATTTTTTAATTTGAAGTCTCAATCATAAAAATTTAGAAATGACATCTATTTACATAGAATTTAAACTTAGGAATTGGAGGTTCCAAATTTCAAGGTTCTTTTTTTTTCACGTGAAAATTCTAAATTTCGATATTATAAATCCGAACAAGGGAATCTAATTCATAAATAAGTCTCGAGATTTTTCAGTGTGCCAAGAACATGTACTGATACACCAATTACCATAATACAAGTTGTTAGAATTTTTTTTCTTCTAATTATCCAATCACTTGTATTATGACGCTTGGTGTACTGAATTGTGTTCTCGACATATCAAAAAATTACTCTCTAAAAACTCATTTTTAATTTTGACTCTTACATCACATACATCGGAACACGGAAAATTTTCTATAAAAACAAATGTTTTCTGAATGGATAATGCTAGGAGACCGAATTTTCAAATCAAATGATGTGGTTGATGAGGATTGAATTATGACTTAAGCGTTGATTAACATGTTTATTTTCTATTAATGACACATCATTGGTTTATAAATTCGATTTAAAAGTTTGATTTCTCTATCGATATGAATATGCTAGTGTTGATGGAATAACCAATTATAAATCAAAATTTGTCTGGTGAGAATAGTACAGATGATGGAATAGGGTTTAGGGTGGGACCAAGTAGAACAACAAAGTTCATCATCGTCATCGGCGGTCCAAAGAGAAGCATGACTAGGCGACAACCATTACGCTACTACGCTCCTGCTTTGCCCTCTCCGCTGCTGCCATTTTCCATTCCACACAGAGCTTCAGAGCAAAATCGACTTTGGAAGATATCAACTGGTTCGAATTCTCTTCTGGGTCTGCGATTGTTTTGATGGCTCTTCATGCTACTGCTTTCTGCTTCGGCGGGGTGGTTTCTTTGCCTCGCAATTCGGTTTCTTTTAGTCAAGGGACAGTCAGAGCTTCTGCATTTTCTTCCCCACCGCCTCTCAGTTCTTCCTCCATTGCTAGATTGAATGTCCAAGGTAATGCTTTGGTTTCTGAGTTCTGTCAGTATCTTTGGGAAATGGGTTTTGTTTGGTTTTGCTTGTTATCTAGTTATTTTGCTGAATTATCCTGCACTTTAAGGGCGTTTGTGTGATATTCTTGGATTGGATTGGACTGAAATATTGTGTGAATTGTTCGTTGTTTATAGCTATCATGTGGTTTAACTTTGGAATTTATTGGGGGTCATTATTCGTATTTCTGATCATTATTTTCATTTGGGTATTTAAATTCAAACAAAGCCAGTAAAAAAACTCTTCGTGCACCTAAATGCCGTGGTAGCTGACTTATCTTGGTCGACTGCTGAAATCTTTGGATGGCCAGGGGTATCAGGTTCCCAAAAAAAACCTTCAGTCCGCCTAGAGTGTGGCTAGTTCACCAGGCAATGTCCTTGTATACCAGGACAATTTTTAGTTTTAGTCACCCTGGGTTTTTCTGTTTTGATTGTTTATTGTTCTGCTTAATGTCCATCCGGGTATTAGTTACTCCTAAGGATCCTAGACATATCCTGTACTATTTTGACTTTCTTGGACTTGTAGGCACATGCTACCACTATGTTTGGGGGTCAAGAACTGATCCTAGTTTAGTCTCCTTAACCCTAACCAAAACCTGGAAGTACGCTAGAGGTCGGGTGATGTTTTGATCTGCTCATAATTGTCTTGACTCCATCTCAACTGTCTTGACTTTTTCTTAATTCCGCCTTTACTCTTGATGTTCTTTAGGTATCCAAATTGTCCCCTTTTTTAGAAGTCTTTGCTGATGCATTTCATGCTCCATTTTGATGTCACTGTTTAGTACATTAGCACGCCATGAATTTGCCGAACTCAAGTCCTGGATTCTACACATTGTTCTTGGTTGCTGTAATTAGGACACTCAGTTTGTGCTTTCTTAGTTTTCACTAATTGTCTTCGACTTTGCATATGACTTCAATCACGAGTGACATTACCATACAGCTTTTGGTTTTCTGCTTACTTTACATCACAGTTTTCTTTTGTAAAATATTTTAGGAAAAGCATTTGCAGGAGATGTACTACCGGACACAAAAGAATCCTCCCTTGTAGTTTGTTTTGGGGAAATGCTGATTGATTTTGTCCCAACGAGTAATGGACTTTCATTGGCTGAAGCACCTGCATTTAAAAAAGCTGCTGGAGGAGCCCCTGCTAATGTTGCAGTTGGCATAGCTCGACTTGGTGGCTCATCAGCTTTTATTGGAAAGGTATCAATTCAAACACATGTATCCATATTCTTGTTGTTCTGGCTTTTAGATGAAGTCCACAGTTACTTAATGTTTTGAGTCATTAAATAATAATTTGGCCACTTGACATCAGTCTTCCCTTCTTTCTCCCACCTCATATTTTAATTTTAGTTTTATCTTTCTGAAGGTTTAACGGATCATTTTCCTTTGTCTCGGTCCTTTTTCTTGTCGCCTTTATGCATACGTACAATAAAATTATAAATATCATAGTCTACCTCGCATTTGTGGAAGCTTGTACAAATTAGGTTGGAAGTGTACAATAATTGTACACTTTCAACCCAATTTTCTATTGTATTTCTTAGCTGTTATATTACTTCTTAGTTGTTCTTATGCATTAAAGTGGTGAAACAAAAACAAAACTAGTTTTCTTGTGTTGTTCCAATTCTTTACTGTTTTATAAAATCTTGTAATCAGAACAATCTTATCCTTTCAGGTATTTTATATTTATAATTTACCTGCAGGTTGGGGAAGATGAATTTGGATACATGCTTGCTGATATACTAAAGGAGAATAATGTGAACAATGAAGGGATGCGTTTTGATCCCGGTGCACGAACTGCTTTAGCATTTGTTACATTGAGGAGTGATGGGGAACGTGAGTTCATGTTTTATCGTAATCCTAGTGCTGATATGTTGCTTCAAGAAGCTGAACTTGATTTTGATTTAATTAGGAAGGTACAAAACAGTTGCTATTATTAGTTAAATAACACTGACGATTATAATTGTAAAGAGTCAAAAGAAGGCAAAGATAAATATATCTTATAAAGGAAATGTCTAGGGAACTAACTATCTTGCATGGTATATCATCTGATTAAAGACTGGTAAGCCTAAACTGACTTTTCAATTGAGCATAGTACACCTCACATGAGAAGGATACTTAAATTTGAACTCTTTATTCCATAATCCAGACCCACTTACATTGATGCACCTTAGACATCATGACGGCTGCAGACTCCAGTATCAGTGTGTTGCATTTAGGTCACCCCATGTTGGGCTCTTCTTATTGTTGGATATCAAATTGCATGCCTGTCTGACGTGATCTTATTTTGCCGAGTTTCTCCGTTTATTTTTTTATTTGACTTGGTAGTCGTTTTCTTTATAGTAATGTTCAAAGTCTCTCTTGACCATCCTGTGGCAGGCAAAAATATTGCATTATGGTTCTATAAGTCTTATCACGGAACCATGCAAGTCGGCTCATATTGCAGCGGCAAAAGCTGCAAAGGACGCTGGTGTAGTTCTGTCCTACGATCCCAACCTCAGGCTTCCACTGTGGCCTTCTGCAAAGAGTGCTAGAGAAGGAATTTTGAGTATATGGGACACTGCTGATGTTATCAAGGTAATTAAACCTTTAAATATGCAGATTATGCACCTGTAGGTTCATATTTGATTTTCATTGTCCCTTTTGTGAAATGGTAAAAGGGAAGTGCTAAAAGAAATTGGAAATATTGGGTCAGAAAATTTGATTATTTATTTTTCAGATAAGTGAAGAAGAGATTTCTTTTCTAACGGGAGGAGAAGATCCATATGATGAAAATGTTGTTCGCAAATTGTACCATCCAAATCTTAAATTACTTCTGGTCACTGAGGGCCCTGATGGTTGTAGGTACTACACCAAGGTAAGTTTTCAAATATGCTCTTCTCATGTGATCTTCTCTGGAAATCTCAAATACACATTGCCTCATGCATTATAACATGTGAATCTTAGAGTATAATTAATTTAATAACAAAATAGTTCCAACATAATATTATAAGAGTCTGGTATTTGTTGGAAGTATATGCAAGAAATGATGAATGTATTAATTGCACGGTTTAAAATTGATGATACTGTAAAGTGATTATATATCAATTTTGGTGAATTAGTTGATTTTATTAGCAATCTGAGTAAAAGAAATTAATTTGATTCTCGAGTGAATACCATGTAGGAGCAGTTTAGGATAGATTTAGACTGCTTGCTTCTCCTTGAGCATTTTTTCCAAACATTTCTGGATTTGGGGGTAGTTTGTAATCAGTTGCTTATTGGGTTTTGATGTGATGCTGTTGCTTTAGGTATCTAAGAGCATCTCCAATGTAGATTTCAAAATAAAATGTCAAATTTGATTGTAATCGGTTGCTTCTCATCCATATTTCTTGTACTTGGTTCAGTTATTTCTTAATAAAATTTGTGTTTCTCATAAAAAAGAAAGATATATTGATTAAGAAAATAGAATGAATTTTCGTTTCTTCAATTTTTGAAGTATGTAGAGTTATTTAAATGGGATGCTTCACTGAACCTTTTTGAATGATAAATAAAACAAATATTCTTTGATTAATTTGAATTAGAAGTAAGCTTTAAGTATGGAGATAGAAAACTTATAATTAATAACAGAAACGAATAACACAAGATATGCTTTGGAGAGACTCTGTGTGTGTGTGCGCGCTCGTGCGCATGTGCATGTATCATGCACCGAAATATGGAGTATCAAGGGAAAGGTGAACTGGCATCAGACTGAACTTTTGTGGCTCCCTGTCTTCATGATATTTACCAGTAATCTTCAAAAGCTACTGGCAAAGTTATTGATTGAGGCTTTAAAGGGGTTCTTTTGGATTAGTAGATATTATATGTTATTATTTAAGATTCTCTAAATTGATGGGATTTTGTTGAGCAGCTAGGATGACAGCAATATACTTCTCTTCCCAGTGTTTGTGTATCTGAAACCGCACATTATGTGTGTATTTGCAGGAGTTCAGTGGAAGAGTCAAGGGTATGAAGGTAGATGCAGTGGACATGACTGGTGCTGGGGACGCATTTGTGGCCGGAATACTATCACAACTAGCTGTTGATCTTTCGTTGCTTCAGGTACTGCATCTTGGACACAAAACTTGAGAGAATTTTCGGGCTTGTGTGGTATGTAGGATTGGATTGGAGAACTTCCTAAATCAAGGCATGTTGAAGGGAGAAATGAAAAAATATGACCAACTACAGGATAGAAGATGGATTACTCATGAAGAAATCGTATCCATTCCAATCCTATCCAAAATGGTAGGATAATAAGGAATGAGTTTTCTTCATGTCTAATCACCTCTAAATGAAAAATCATTATCTTTTGCCCTGAAATTGAAGAGTTATCCATTCCATTCCCATCCAATTTACCAAACGAGGCCTTCTTCCAGTCAAAACTTTAATTGCATAATTATATATTTCTAGTAGCTTCACTACCCTGCGCATGATGAGGAAATCAGCAAATAATATGAACTAAAAACTCATGAATATGGATAGACGAAGGTTCCTCATACAGATGACGGCCTCTAGCATTGCAGAAATCATAGGGAGAGGGGAGGGTGGGGGTTGGGGTGGATGTTTGGAAGGAAAAGGGATTAGAGCCTCTATGTACTAGTTATCTTCCTTGGAAATCCCTTCCTAATTAACTAGGCAGCTGGATCACCCTATCTATTTAAATCTTAAACAGGTACAAACTCTGAACTTGAGAAATTTATTTTACTAAAACAACAGGGTACAGACGATGTTGCCTTTCTGATTTGTAGAATATAGTTTCAACGTTATATGTTCCAGACGTATTTGTTATTTATCATATGACTTGGGAACAACTCTATCGAAATTCTCAAATTATATACATAATGTTGGATAGTGGTAGAGCTTCTTTACTAATGACTAGATTTTAGCGTGTACTGATCTGCATTTAAACCCTATTTTGTGCGCCATTTTGTTGATTGATGTGCGGTAATTTTCCGTGTGAGTTCCCAATTGCTGATTGAAAATACAGTGTTTGAAGTCATATCCATCTGGATTTGAAATGTAGGAGGAGGACAAACTGAGAGATGCGCTCCTGTTTGCTAACGCTTGCGGTGCATTGACTGTGACGGAGAGAGGTGCTATTCCGGCTTTGCCAACTCGAGAATCTGTGTTGAATGTCATTCTCAAGTGTGTAGCCAGGGTTTTCGACGTAAATATGTAACTACCTCCTAGGGTACCCTCCCTGTATGTCATAATGGTGGCAACACTGAAACCAGCTGATAGTGAACTTCAGATCTACTGTCGTAGCCAGTTCGTGTTGTTGTGAGATAGACCTCAGCCATTTGTAGCAAAGTTAATTGGTTCAACAAAATAAGAAGTTGATTGTATAACACCACATCACTATAATTCAATCAACATTCGTTCTGAGGTACGACATTGATAGTGTTTTCTTTTGCGTTTTTCGTATCTCTGATCCAAATATTTTCGTCGTTTATTTTTCCACTCATTTTCGGCTTTCTTCCTTTTAACTTACCATATAGCTTTGTATCGGTTAAATTATTAGTTCTAGTTTTAAAGTGACCATGTACAACAGTCGGGGACTAATGATAGGTTTTGATCGAGCACGCGTGTGGATTTTGTGGACTCATAGCACCCCGGTTGCATTGTCACGTGATGTTACCATATCCAAAATGTAGGAGGCTATTCTCTTTCTTGCAAATTACTTGTATGTTTGCTTTCCATCATATTTATTTCCTTGATTGTGGAATCATTTTGTTAGGCAGCTTGATTCCCTATTATTGCGGAACTTCCATTCTCAATTTCTGGTGGGACTTGGAGCCGAATTTTATCAGAAACAAGTCCTTTCAGCCAACCAAGCTATAGTACTTGACAGCATATTCTACTTTGTTGGAGCACCTACTTTCGAAATTTTAGGCCACTCAATTTTTCAAGTAGCGTGAAAATTTTGAGTGCGAGTGTCGCATAGTTAAGTGGTGATGTTATTAGTTCATATGTTATAACATGAATGATAATGCATAAAAATTACGACATTAATAACACATTCTAACACAGGCCAGTCTAACATAATAAAGCTCAAGTATATTGAAGTGTCAACAATGTGATTTGTTTTATTCGTCCAATTATATCATAGAAATTACAGCATCATGTGTTAATATGTTAGTCAATTGAAAAATTCTCCTGAATATCACACTATCCATCAAATATCGGGAGAAATTTTTCAGTGTACTGGGAACAATACCTGGTACACTAAGTGTCGTAATACAATTAGTTAAAAAATTTTTCTTCAAGTTTCCAACAAATTGTATTATAAAACTTGATGGATCATGTTCTTAGCACGTTATATAATCTCTCTAACATCAGAGAAATTATTGGATATTACGGTATTACCACGTCACTTACGGTACTTCCATTGAAAATTGGCCATATGTCCCTTGTTTATGCAGTTGGACCTGAATCAATTTTATCACCTAATAATTTCTCCCAACATCTCATCTCATCTCTTCTCATAAATTTGACACGTGGAATGCACTTAGTGGTTCCTTCTAGAAGTTTTCATTTTTGGTTAGGAAATAGATCATTCCCTAATCTTTCACACCAAAACTATTTAATCAAGTGATCCAGATTCTTGAAATTTAATTAAACAGCTAAAGTTGTTATAACTTTTAAAAGGAACATCTGCTTTTAGCCGTTAAATCAAATTTTAAAGATCTAAATCATTTAATTAGGTGATTTTGGTAAAAGGGATTAGGATAGGATCTCTATCCTTCTAGTTAACACATCCACCGGTGCTACTTCATCCCTTACATTGTCCACCTAACTTTTGCAACTGTCTTTTTCTTTAATTTTTTTTAGGAAAAATGGGACAAACCACTAAAACACGTGTTCAAATTATCCTCTTACAAATTGACCAAAAATTATCCACTAAACCAAACCGTACATATGTCCACATTTTCCTTTTTTAGTTAGAAAATACACGTGTAATAATTTTCTCTTTTTTTGTTTTTTTATCGAAACGTGTAATAACTTTCTTAGGCGACGTTAAATTGTAAGAATTAAAACGAATGGTAAGGATTAAAGTATTGTCCGAACAACAAGCTCTACAACAAGTTATCTTAGAAAACTTCAATTTTCCTTCTTTGCGGTTAAATCGTTGAAAATTTCATTCTTCAGGCAATATTCGACTCATTTTTAAACTCATAATTTGACGGACTATCTTACTCTTTCGCAAAACCATCTTTTAAGAACCTAATTCTTTTTACCTGTCATCAATCACACATTCATTCATCACAAACCACCATTTTTTTACCCCTTATTCTCGCATTCATTAATCCATTTACAAACCAAAACTCAACTTAGAGAAAGCACGTTATAATCAACTGTACAAATAATGGCAGAAGAAGATCCTAAAGAAAAGGTTGACCGGGAGCGCATTTTCAAGCGGTTTGATACAAATGGCGATGGAAAAATCTCTGCAACTGAGCTAGGAGATGCATTGGAAACCCTAGGCTGCGTTCAACCAAATGAAGTGAAATCTATGATGGCGGAGATTGATACCGACGGTGATGGCTTCATTTCATACCAAGAATATTTAGATTTTGCTCTAACTAACCGTGGTTTAATTAAAGATATTGCCAAAATATTTTAGTGACGTTTCTCTTCAATTTATTAATTTGTTTATCCCATTCTCCTTAATGTCTTATGTATGTGACTCATTCCATGCCCTTATGAGACAAGACGTGCATTGATTGTTAAGGTTCATTTGAATTAATATGGTAGTTAAACTGTAGACTTCTTAATATTCCATACAATGCCAAATGATATCTTGCTTCTGTATCTATTCGAGAACACGTCACTTCAACGATCAGAAGTGAATGTTCTTAATTATTTAAACTACAAATCAACCTTACACACACAATATATGTATTATATAATTTGATACATTTCAAATAGACACAGATTTGGTAACAGAGTTTTAATGAAAAAATAAGGGACAACTAGCAAGAACGAATATTTGCAAAGATAATATTTTATAATAATAATGATGGCATATTTTATCATATAATGATCACACAACGATGCATAACGACACTTGATCATTTCTGCAACTAAATGTCAAAAAATTGATCATTCTTGCTAATTAGAATAAAATTAGATAAAATATATGTATGGAGTAGTTGGTACGTGACCCCAAATTCAATTAATTGTGCAGAAAAATGTGTAGGTGGTGAATGTATCTACACATCTGCATGGACCTTTTTTTTTTTTTTTTTATATATTTGGATAATGTTACCTGGATTGGTAATGTTCAAAATTATTCGTTGTCAATTTATAGAACTCTATTTTTATAATCAGAATTGTTCATATTATAAATCATTTTATAAAGATCCCCTTTGTAAAAAAAATCAACTAAAACTAAAGTCGTTTTGTCATCGAACTGTATAAAAATAAATAGACGAAAAAGTATTACGAACCATCTATGTATTTGCTAGAATAGGTTAACTAAACGACCTTAGTTTTAATTCATTTTTTACATAAATGATATTTACAATATGATTTATAATATGAACGGTTCTGATCATAAGCATAAAACTCTGTGATTTGAACATGAAGAGTTTTGAGTAGGAATTCCTACTCATCTTTGAGTAGGCAAGCATTGTTCGAATTTTGTAAGTGAGATTTTGAGTTCCGTCATCCGTCTATATTCTACTTATTTGTCAATTTAAATGGTGCACGATGGGGCTGTAAGTGAGAAATGATGTAAGCTTGATATACATTGTTGCCTAATTGCATAACAGCTCAAGTTTTTGGGAACTAGCCATTGTCTAACGAAAATCTTAGGGGCCGTTTGATAACTATTCATTTTCAGTTTGTTGTTTTGGTTTTCATTTTTTTTTTTTAAATTAAAAATTGAAATCTTGTTTGTTTAAAAAAATGAAAACTAAAAGTAAAAATGTAAAAACTTAAGGCCAAATTCTGAAAACTCAATAAAGTAGTTTTCATTATTTGGTATTGAATTTGAAAACTGAAAGTAGTTACCAAAGTTTTCCGTTCTTGGTATTGAAAACTAAAAACTAAAAGTAATTATAAAACAAAAATTCAATTTTTGTCTTTTTACTGAAAACTAAAAGTAGTTACTAAATAAGATTTCAGTTTTTACCTTTTTGGTATTGAAAACTGTAAATGAAAGTAGTTACTAAATAATATTTCAATTTTCTTTTTAAAAAATCTTGTTTAATGTGGGAAAATTTTCTTACGAAATCTCTCTAGCAAACATGAGCTGCCAGCAAGCGTTGTCCTTAGCCCAATGTGAGAAAGCATTACAAATTCATACGCTTAATGGAGCACGAACTTCTTATTTATTTTTTTTTACAGAAATACATTAAGAGGTGAGGAAATAAATTAATATTGAACTTGTCATTCACGAATTTCAAATCTGAAACCGCTCACTTCAAAACGGAGATAAACATCCTTAGATCTAGATCATGGTATTAAATGGTAATCAAACGAGAACCTTAAACTAAAACAAAATGTGTTACAACTTTCCCTGTTAGAATAGCTAAATAGGGACAGGTACATGGAAGATATATACACATCAGACTCCTATTCCTATCTACAATATCGACACTCGGTACTCACTTCTAGCAAACCACTCTGTTCAAACTTCAAACAAGCAACAACAAATCTAAGAACCGAAAAATCAGGATAATTTATCTGCAACGAATCAACGGCCGTAAAGATGATCATCATCTTCAAACTCGGAAACTCCTAGCATAGCCAAAGCCAGGTGACTCTTCATCTCGCTATTCGTTTGTCGTAATTGAGAATAACAATCAATCGACAATCCATTCCCTAGAAAACTAGGCTTCTTCCTCTTGGAGATTGTAGGTTCTTCTTTGCCTTTCAGTATTGCCATTATCTCACAAATGCTTGGCCTCCGGGATTCTTCACTCGTTATGCAGGCAGCTGCAGCTTCAATCATCCGTGCTATTTGATTTGAATTTCTCGAAGTGCATTTTATTCGTGGATCAAGCAGCTCCTCGATAGCTCCTTTCCCTTTACACAAGAGGGGTTTTGCCTGATGAAAAATGGAAGTGGCACATTTGTGAGTTATAGCAACCAATTCCAAAATCTAATGTACACCACAAACATTTTTCATATTTTAAACGAGAAGTTTTGATGACTTCCATTGAAACACCATACGGAAAGTTTACTGAATGATTCAAGAAATTTGACTTTCAGAAAGTTATTTGGTTGGTAGACAAACCTTTGCTAAGAAAAGTTTCTATCCAATGGAGTAAGTAGCCGAATTGAAAAAACGAGCGTTTTGAAAATAGTTCATAATAAACTTTTAAAGAGATGTGGGTTAGGCCAATTGGCCTGAATAGTGTGTTCCCCCCCCCCCCCCCCCCCCAACCCCTTTCTCCTTCTCCCCCGCACCCGAGTTTGAATCCCTCTCCCCGTAAATCAGAGTAGTTTAGAATATTGCCGTGTCAAAGAAGAATAAGCTATTAAAAGAAAATAAACTATGTCCAGCATGAGAAGCAATCAAGGGCCCATCAATTCAACATCACATATTAAAAAAGGAGCTAAAGGCCAAAAAGGAAGGTAGTAAGATGACCTACCCAGAGAACCAAGTTTTCTTCTCCTTGTGGCCTTCTTGCTTCAATTGGCTTCCTTCCGGTTATCAATTCCAGCAAGACCACTCCAAAAGCATACACATCAGTTTTATCCGATATTTTCCCATGCTGGAAGTACTCAGGAGCCAAGTAACTGCACATGCCATTTTAATTCACGCAATGAATAAAAATCGAACACAAGCAACGGGACAAAAAATATGTTTACTAGTTTAAGTTTTCTCAAGATCGTACCCAAATGTTCCTTTGACAGTTTTGCAAAGGAAGGGAACGGAAGGTGCGGAAGTCCAAGTGGCTAATCCAAAATCACATAACTGCAAGCAATATCGATACAACGCAGTCAATCAATCAAATTACTTGTATAGTGTATAAAGTAAAATCTAATTCCATTGAAAACAGTTCAATTTCAAACCAGAATGAGATCCATAAAATTGCTCTCCATTTACCTTGGCGGTTTTCTTGGACGAAAGGAGAATGTTTGAGGGTTTGATATCTCTGTGAACAATACATCGTTCGGTTCCATTATGCAGATACGCAATTGCCTCAGCAATTCCAATGGCAACTTTGTGCCTTACAAACCAAGGAAGTGTTGCAGAGCCCTTACCTCCCCTCGTTTTCTCTGCAAATGAGCGTGCCGTAAATCAGTTAAAACTCACCAAACTTGAAAGAAAGTTCGATTCAAAAGACCGAAACAAGAGAACTCACCGTGCAAATGACGCTCCAAGCTTCCCCCGGAGACATACTTATAAACCAAAAACAAGCCCTCCTCTGGATCAATGCAAAACCCCACAAGAGGTGTCACATTTCGGTTGTGAAGAGAGCTAGAAATCATCAGCTCTCTACAAAATGCCTTAGCAGACTCTTTATCTTCCTTGTCCAGTCGCTTGATCGCCACAACAGTTCTCAAAATCCCAACTCTGCCCCTAAATACACAGCTCAAAGCTCCTCTCCCCAAAACTCTACCTACCCAAAACAACAAATTCCATTAAAATTTCACACAGAAAAAAAGATCAAATTTTGATTCAAACAAAACAATCCCATTTCATTACCTTTCGAAAAATTGCGAGTGGCAGCAAGAATTTCACCGTAGCTATATCTGATCAAAGTGTGAGCCATTGGGGAAATGCTCCTCTCCAACGACTCAAATCGCCTCCACTTGACCTCTTTAGCTTTGGATTCAGACATCCCATTTCCCAAATTCACCATTAGAACCGTTGCAGCGGCGGAGGAGCTCATGTTCATGGAATCCAGCTCCACCTGAGAGCAGAAGGTGAATCTGAAAGACGAGTTAACCGAATGGGGATCGGCATTTTCCAACTCCGCCCCACACCCGCCGGACTCCGCCAGCAGCCACGCTTTGTTGTGCTCTAAATTTATCTTGTTGTTGTTGTTGCTGTCGTCATCAACTGGGGTCTTCTGGTTGCTCTTTTTCTGGCGAGGTGGGAGAAAACAGGCCAAGCCAAACTCCCTGAACATTTTCTTCAAAAGGGTTTTGATTCTGTGGTCATTGTAGTCACAGTAGTGGTGATCTGTGGCTAAAGAGGAGGAAGTGTAGAGAGGAAGAGGATGAGGAAGGGCATTGGGTGGCTCTCTGGAGTTGGTGAAGCTGCCTTGGGAGTTACCCATCTTGATGCAGATCTCAATGACTAAAAAGCACAAAACCCCAGAAACAAGATAGAGAGAGAGAGAGAGAGGCTCAAAGAAAAGAGAACAATAAAAAAGTGAAAGCTGCTTTGCTTGCAGGGTGGGAGAGAATTTCCCAATGAATGTGGGGTAGGAGGGAGAGAGAGATGGGCTATCTGAGACAGCAATGTGTGTGTGTGTATATATATGTATGTGTGAGAAAGAAAGAAAGTGACTACTGACTGAGAGGAGGAGGAAGGAGAGTGGGTGTTTGTATGGTTACGGGGTCGGTTGCTTACTTTTGGTTGAATTTGGGATTAATTTTTTCATTTACCAAGAAAACAAAAGGCAATTATTTTAAGTGGTGGGAGGGGGGAAGAGAAAGCCTGAGTTGATCCCAGAAATGAGAGAGATTCTTCCTGTTTGCCCTGATGTGGACAGCCAGAACCACTCCAGAATAATTTGGATTTGGACTTGGGAGGTTAGACATTAAGGGATAAACTCGTATTTTTCATCACAGTTTAAGCATCCGCTCCTCTTTAGTAGAAATTTTTCTAACCTGGTATTCATGCTAGTACTTTACGTATTATAAAACAAGTAAAGAGACATGTAATAATATATCGCTTCTTTTAATTGTATTATAACATGTGAAATACCGTTGAATACCCGATACTTGAAAAAATCTTTCCCTGGTTAGGATGGCGTAGTTTGGTTTGGATCGCTTTCATACACAACTCGGGACTAAATAAATAACTATTGAACTTTTTTTTAATTAACAATATATGTTTAATAATGAACTAATCATAATAATTGGTATTGAACTCTATAACATGTTAAGTCGAAATTAAGACTTATGCTATAAAACGTAGTTTAGATTGATTAGATTTTAACTAATAAAACCTACAAAGTGAAATTGAACCAAACCAAACTACTATTGGGTGATGTGGTTCGATTTGGTTTGGCCAGTTTGGGATTCCATTCAGTTTTGAACAATTAACAAGCCTATATGGTTTGGTTCAATTTTGCGAACCTTTTGATTTTGTAAATTGTCAAGACTCGAAATTGAACCAAACCATGAATTACCCTTCGAGTTGATCATTTTACGCAGTTTGGCCGGTTTGATGCTCACCTCTAACAATGATAATAGGTAGCCATCAAGACAATAATTAGTACACTTACTTTATAATTAAGATTTGGAGCATGACAAAATCACTGCCTAATCATGGAAAAGTAATTAGAGTAATTATTGAATTTTGTAGAACACCAAAATCAAGTGAAGAAATAAGAGACAAGGAACTTGAGAGGGTCAATGAGTAGGAAATGATGATATGATTTGGGAATTTAGAATTTACAAAAGAAAAAAAATTAAACAAATGAAGAATATATAAATGATTGCACCAAGGTTGGAAACATCCCAAAATTACAATCCAACAGCCGACTATCCAACTCTAGCTATTATTAGCCCAAACTTCGTCAAAGACTTGGGCTTATGTTTTTTTTTTTTTTTGGGGGGGTGTGGGGAGAGGGGGAGGTTGGTATATAATATAAATATAATGTTACAGTCCATCCTAAAAATAAGAGTATTTTAATTCACGAAGATCGAAAATGATCAAAGTGCCGGTTTAAATTCAGCTCACATTCTCGATTTGTGGATAAACAATTCAACACTTGGTGAATTCTGCTTTATAATTGTGAACACGAAAGATTCCTTTGAAACAAGAAACCAGAATAACGTGTACAAAATAATATTTTTGTGTTTATGATTTTGGGGTTACGATCTCTCTCAAATTTGGTCCTCTGATTCTATCTTCGTAGGGTGTAGGTTTGTGGATGAGTTGTTGATCCAAAGGGCCGTCGGGGCTTGATCTAAAGATGAACAGTTGATGAACGGATGAACACTTTCTTCAAGGGCCGTTTGGGCTTGATCTTGAATAATGGTTGTGTGGATTTCTTCAAGGGCTTTTGGGCTTGATCTTGAATAATGATTGTGTGGATTTCTTCAAGGGCTTTTGGGCTTGATCTTGAAGGTTGATGGATGAGCGGATCTTCAAGGGCTTTTGGGCTTAATCTTGAAGAACGATTGGATGTGTGGATTTGTTGAGGTTGTTGATCCAAAGGGCCGTTGGGGCTTGATCTTAGGATGAACAGTTGATGAACAATGAACACTTTCTTCAAGGGCCGTCGGGGCTTGATCTTGAGTTGGTGGAAGTTCTTCAAGGGCCGTTGGGGCTTGATCTTGAAGGAGGATTTGACGAAGAAACGAAGAGTGCTTTCTTGATCCTTCGGGATTCTTGGGAATTTGGATGCTTGAGAGCTTTGGAGTTTCAAAGCTTCAAGGATTTGGGGAATTCTCTTCCAATTTGGGAGTAGAGAAATGTATTTGTGAATTCCTTGATGCTTGATACCTTGATGGAGAAGCCTATTTATAGGCTTTGAGAATGAATCACTACCACAAAATATTTTTTTCCTTTCCAAGCACCATTGCCTAATTTTCCCACTTAATGCAATATTGAAATTGAAGTGGTGTAACTTATGGCCTAATTTCCCACTTAATACCATTTTAAACTTGAAGTGGTCTAACTTATGGCCTAATTTCCCACTTAACACCATTTTAAACTTGAAATGTGTATGCTTTGTCATTGCCCAAATGAGAAAAACTTGCTTTGATCCGTAATGGATTGAAGTGTGCTTACCTTGTCATTGCCCAAATTGAGAAGAAAAAACCTTGTTTAATCATCCAAGGGTATTTCTTCCTATTTTGTTGAGTCACATGCCATGTGTACAATTTGTACGACACGTGGCGTATGCCATGTATGCCTTGACACGTCAAAACTTTGATGCGTTGGGTGAACATTTGTTTTACTGAAATTTCGATGTCTACAAATGCCCCCACTTCAAGGCGCGTCGTAGACATGTGCTTGTCACGTGTAGAAGATGCGTTTTGAAGTCCCTTAATGTAGATGTCAACCCAAGGGCCGTCGAGGCTTGATCTTGAATTGGGCTGGAAATTTCTTCAAGGGCCATTGAGGCTTGATCTTGAGTTTGACTGGAAGATTTTTTGGTTTCCTCCAATCGTTGATTTTCCACAGGCTTAGTCTTGAACTGGGCTGGAAATTTCTTCAAGGGCCATTGAGGCTTGATCTTGAGTTCGACTGGAAGATTTTCTGGTTTCCTCCAATCGTTGATTTTCCTTTGTGCTACTCTTGAACTGGGCAGCAGGAAATTTCTTCAAGGGCCATCGAGGCTTGATCTTGAGTTCGACTGGAAGATTTTCTGGTTTCCTCCAATCGTTGATTTTCCTTTGTGCTACTCTTGAACCTCCAATCGTTGATTTTCCTTTGTGCTACTCTTGAACTGGGCAGCAGGAAATTTCTTCAAGGGCCATCGAGGCTTGATCTTGAGTTCGACTGGAAGATTTTCTGGTTTCCTCCAATCGTTGATTTTCCTTTGTGCTACTCTTGAACTGGGCAGCAGGAAATTTTGGTCTCCCCCGAAGGTCTGAGCTTTACTCTTTTTTTCTGTTTCTTTGTTCAATCTCTCCAATTTGTATTGAAGAGGGTTAGAGGATAGCTCAGCATATGCAGTTGTTGCTTGTCTCCACATGCTTTAATGTATCATTTTCACTTGCCTTACTTGCTCCCCTTTGCAGAAGTGGTCCCTTCTCTGGAAGTGTATCAACCGTTGAAGATGACTACTCGAGAGCAACGCTAGGTAAGCAACCAGGGAATAGATTCCAGGCAGTCGGTTCCAGATCGGAAGACTGACTCCAAGTGCCGGCTGATTGCTTCTTTCACTTTGCCATGCGAGTAAGAACAAGGACAAAGGAAAAGACAAGGAAAAAGCATGATATGAGATACCTTTGCTTTCGACCTTGATGATATGAGATACCTTTGCTTTTGAAGAAGCGGCGAATGGATCAGCACATGTATTTGTTGTGCTTGTCTCCACATACTTCAATCTACCGTTTCCTCCTGGGTCATCTGTACTCCAGGCATCTGGTATCTTCTTTGGGGAAGAAGAAAAAATTGAGTATTTCGAAAGGCTTTGCTGGGAGTGCGCCCTCAGAGGTGAGGAAGAGTTGGACATTTTTTTTTTTTCAGGTCTGCCTTGCCATAAAAGATGAAGGTCGACATATATAGGGATTTCCCAATAGCAAGTGGTGGTTATGTTCTTTTACCCTTGTCGACAAACGTCTCTTCGATTTTTTAACAAGCGTCTCTTCGATTTCTGAGCGAGCGCCTCTTCGAAAAAGTAGTCACGGGTGCGGCTCTGTCACCACGCTTGTTGGCAAAGGCGCGTAGTTGGGATGATAACCTTCACGTGTTTTCAACTTTGTCAGAGATCTTTTGACAAAGTTGAACGCGTTATCTGAAAAGCCGCGAAAGCGTCGCCGAACTTCACGCAGGAAAATCCGATTTTTTGAATCGGTGGTCGTGTCGCCTTGGCTTTTTATAGAGGTATCGATTACCTCCAACATGCACACTTTGAAGATCGCCCGTTTGTGAAAATCGTCTTCGGCCCTTTCTGATTTTACTCCATCCACCTTTCTCTTTTAACCTTTTAACAATGGCTAACCCGTCTAACATTTGCTTAGATTTGAGTCTCAGCAGTGATCCGAGTGCGCCGCGTCAGGTAAATGTATGGTGCCCTTCTTTCTTATCTTCTAATGGCCCTTTGACAGGTGAAGATTCTGTGATGAAGGACGCAACAACAGCTACGATAGTAGCTAGGAACTTCCTCACTCCAAAAGATAGTAGGCTGCTTTCAGAACGGTCCGATGAGTTGGCCGTTCAAGAGTCCCTAACTCTCAGTGTTCAGTGCGCAGGCTCTGTGTCCAACATGGGCCAACGCCTACTTGCTCGATCCCGCCAAGTGGAATCATTGATGGCGGAGGTGGAAACTCTTAAGCAAGAGATCAAACAGCTTAAGCACGAGAATAGAAGTTTGCATGTGTTTGCAAATAACTATTCGACGGGCATGAAGAGGAAGCTTGATGAGCTGCAAGAATCCAGTGGTCGAATTCAAAGTGACCGTCAAAGTGACCGTCAAAGGCTTGCTGCTTTCTTCCAGAGGCACCTTTTTCCTGGCTCATCTAGCGTTCCACCAAGTATTGAGGCCTCTTCTTTGATGCCTCCCGCTTCTGTAGTTTTCCCAAGTAGTGGGGCTTCACGTGAACAATCTTTATGAAAGCTCCATCTCTTTTTTTTTTTTTTTTTTTTTTTGTACGCACTT